GGGGTGTGCGACGCCGCCCCTCTTTCTTCTTTAATATTTTCCCCCGGGTTTTTTTTCCCCCCCCCCCCCCCCCCCCCCCCCCCCCCGGCCCTGCCCCAGAGTGAACTACGTAATGGAAAGTGGTTTTATCTCATTTTGGAATAGCATGCATTTGATAACTAGTGTGACAATTCTTCATCCTAGAGTCACAATGCAATCAATGAGTTAGACAAAAATTCTCCAAGAGTAGAATTCAGCCAAAGGTGTATATACATGCAATGAACCTTCTCAGTTTGCAAAGTAAGTGAAAACGTGTCTTTCGGTGTAACAGTTAATGATAGTATGCTGTGATGATGGCAGTTTCACATGGAGCACTTCTTTATGAAGTCAGGCTTGACTTGGTCAAGCTGCCAAAAGGCAAAGTTTTCCTTGCTTTCAACAAGCACTATGAGTTACAAAGTCAATCTCATGGTATACCTTTATTCCAAAGCCAGTAACTGGTCATTTTTTAAACTTCATAAGCTGCTATGTTGATTATTAAACATGAAATGTCAGGTCTACAGCTGTAGTGTTTTGGGTTTTTTTTCCCTGTAATGTGAACAGTAGATTCTTCTGAAATCCTGGCTGCTAGACAGATGATAGGAGAGATGTTCTCTGATGACAGTAACCTTTACTTTTGGCCATACTCTCTTCAAAATTCCCTTCATTGTGTGGGAAGGCAGATATTGTCCCAGGAGAGCAGAGTTCTTACCCTTGAGCCATGCTACCTTGGACAAACATCTGTTGCATCAACCTGCACATGTGCATTAGTCTCACAGTAACTGAAGTGGTTGCTCAGCAAAACCTGTCAGGCTGGTTGGAAACTGGTGATGATACCATTTAAGAATGTGTCTTAAGTGAAAGCAAACCAGTTCAGTGGGTTGCAGCACTGCCCAGGTTTCAGTGGTTAATATGTCCACTATTGGATTTCTGATGGTAGTGATCCATGCAAGCTTAGAGAAGGTATGCTAGAGAAGGTGGAAGGTGTCAATAAAAACAAATCAAATAGCAAGCTTGCAAATTGAGCTTAAGATACATTTCTGCAGAAAAAAATAGCTGCTTTGGATCCTTTAGATAGTTGGGATGATGTTTGTTTCCAGTGATCTGGGTAAAAATGTGGAAAAATGTAACCTCCTTAGCTGGGGAACAAAAGCATCATATTCAATATATAATTCTGTGTTTGAAGTTCTTGCTGAATATCTCTGGCCCAGGCTCTCAGGGGTAAAAAATCTCATGTGGTTGCTGACCTGAGTGGAGTGATGTTGTTTTATACTGGCTGCTTCTGAGGTGTCCAAAGAATGATGATGTTAGAAATTAATCAAAGCTGACAGATGAAATAAATACATAAATTTCAATCAGTTGATGAGTAGTTCTGCTTTTAACAATAAATGCTTAGACTACCTTATTGCCTGATGTATTTACCAACCCAATTTTTCAAATTCTCTGCCGAGCAATCGGCAGATGACTCCATCAGTGCATAGAGAGACTGCAAAATGATGTTTTGTCTGTGCATTGAAACCTAGAAAAAAACCCTAGTGATTATGTTTGTCTCAGTACAGAAAATTTGCTTGGTCCTTAGGGTTAGTCTTCTACATATATTGATAACTATCTAAATTAAGTTATATATTAGGGAAGGCCTAAATCTTGAGAATATTACTTTTAGAGCTAGAAAGTTCATTTTTATTGCTTTGCTCTTTCTTGCTAACCTTAGCACTTTCCTTATATCACATGATTTTTATTCTTTTTTTTGGTGGAAGATGTAAAATCAAACAATTTGAAGATGGATCCATCATCCAACTTGATTTGACATAATGCATAGTGCCACTTCTTTCTCCATGATGTTTTGTCTTGAAGCCCCTATACCTAATTTCCTACAGTGTGCACACATGTTCTGACAGCAGGACAGAGGACCTGGTATAGAATTAGGCCTGCTTGTAAAAACAATATATGGCAAATTCCTGCGTCCCTAACAGATTGTTTACTAATGAAAGAGGCAAGAAATTACTCCAAATGGCAGTGATTGAGCAAGTGGCAGGCTGTGATTTCTGCTCCGTTCTTTTTTTTTTTTTTTGTTTTGTCTCCTGTCTGTTCTTGGTAGGACTGTTTTATCTGTCTGATGCAGCCTATCATGTGTATCACAAGGTCTTTGAGGAAAAGAGCTGATGCAATTGAGATCTGTAAAATGAGTAAGCTGTAAGCTTACTAATTCTTGAACTGTGTCAGTAAGCAACAAAAATGCAAATGAAACCTCTCAAAGTGTGTATGAATTTGGTAAGTGACGAAAGAAAGGAGGAGAAATACACATCAGAATGAGAGCGGGGACAAACCTTAGTGGAGTTTTGATCCTTCTTCCTAGTCCAACCATTTAAGGCCAGCCACTCCCAACAGCTGGTTCAAACCAGAAATTATAGTTGTGCTTTAGCTGTGTGAAGT